CTCTTTAACTCACTTTATGTAGCAGCTATTGTAAATAACTGTCCTAATAAATGCTTTTAATGACAACAATGAAAATTCTTCAGATTTATAATCAATTCAATAAACATACTCCAGTACTATCTCAGAAACAAGAAATGAAATTTGGAGTTCCTGCTTAACTCATCATGACTGAGGTGAGAGTTTCTTCCTTGGTCTGGTTCTACCATTCTGTATAGTTTACTCAGGAAGTCAGTGTAACATGCCATGGGAGAGTAGACTGAGGATGGCAAGTGATGAAGAGTATGGCCTGTGAAGTCATGGGACATGGATTGACTTTCAGCCATGTGACCTTGGCTTTTTTGGGGTGAGGTGGAATAAACCCAAGTCCTTGTTCTTACTAGGTAAGCTTGAACCACACCTCCAACCAGATGTTGGTGTTTAGATCATGGTGATTTATTGACTTCTCTAAGTCTTTGTTTGCTCTTCTAACATTTGAAACTTTTACCATCTATAAAATAGCAACAGTAATAGCACTTACTTTGAGGGGCACTTGTAAATGAGAATTTTTCAAGTGTGATACAGTGTCTGGCACATAGAAAATTATCAATAAAAAAGTTGGTTATTATTAAGCCATAGCTAATCTTAGTGCTTTTATTTGAAAATTTCTTTTAGTTGGAAACAACCTGATGTTCCAAATGTGAAAGCATTCTATTGGTTTTGATATGGATCAGTTTCTATACAGTTGGCTTCCTTAAGAGTAATACATTAATTCTGACTATTATGGTACTTCATACTCTTCATATTTTATTTCAATAACAACAGAACACAGGGCTTTGACAGAAAGGCTATAAATTTTCCCGAATCTATCATAATTGTGTTTTTCTGAAACACTAGCAATAATGGTGGTTAGTTCAGCTAAACAGAAGTTTTAGTTTGGTTAGCCTGCAGCTATAAATTATGTATGAAAAGGTGGCCACAAGAATTACGCCGGATACTAAAAGCAAAATTCTCTTTACAAAGTAATAACACCAGCTTAATTTTTTCCAGATGTCAAATAATCACTATATATATTTTGATATAGAAAGATTTTCAAGATATATTGTTTGATAAAAATTTCAGAATACAGAGTAATGTAAAATATGTCCTAATATGTGTTTGTAAAAAGACAGAAAGTTAGATAGACAGGAATAGGAATATTTACAGACACATGTATATGTTTGCATAGGCTTAGAAAATTTCTGGAAGGATTTATAAGAAACTGTCAATAATAATTTCACTAAAAATAACAAAGATTTGTATTAGATGAAAGACATTTCATTACATGTATTTTTAGTACTTGCTAAAACATTTTATCCATGTATATTTTATGTTTTAAATAAAAAGCTAGTATAAAAATTACCATAATCAATAGCTATGTATTGAGTTCCTACCCATTATAATCAGTGTGCTAGGCTTTGTATGCATATAGACTAATATTCACAAATATTTTGCAAGATAAATTCAAATTATGTAGCTTACACAATATTGCTGAACAAGTAAGGGAGAGGGTCTTTGTTTATTTCCTCTGTTTTTAACTAGAGTTTTCAAGAATCTATAATTTATAGTCACCAGTATAAGCATTTTACTCTTTACTACAGAGAAAATGAAAAGGATTTCTTCAACTACAATCTCAGATCGTTGGGATTACAAATTCTGTCAATATCTATCACTGCTAGGGTTTCACTTAAGGCAGAGACTTAATGTCTTTCAACTCTATTTTTCCTTTCACCTATTAGGACAACCTTTGTCACAAAATTTTTTTCTGACTTTGAAATTTTAATCAGGATTTGCAAAAAAAAAAAAAAAAAAATCCAGCCGGTTTCCTTACTAAATATATTATTCCTCTCAGTATGAATGCACTGTTGCTATATGGCTGTTAAAAATGTTGCAATCGTCGGTACAAAAAATATTACCCAACTTCTGGTATAGTAGTTGCTTTCTGCTTTCAAATGATTTAAGTAAACACTATTATTTATGTTAACTTGTGAAGAGTCTGAGCATTATTGTATAATAATTATTCTATTAACCAGTTCTTGTTGTGATTTGAGGAACTACTGTAAAAATGCTAAGGAGGGGCAGCATAGGTACAATACATTGCAGGTATTCATCTCTTATTTGAGGGAGGAGAAAACAGGGTGAAGAGTTGAATCAAACTCACTAACAGGGAAGAAAGAAATACATGAAAGACCACACTGTTCGTTTGCTGTGGCAAAACAGCACAGAAACAGAATACACAGAGAGGCAGACTGGTCCATACCACTTCAGCAACAGCAGGATTGGTCCAGCCTGCAGTTCAGTGCCTGTGGTCACATTTGAATTTTACTCCCAATTTGACTGTGTGGATACTTCCACATGATTTAATCAAGAAGTACCCTAGCTAAGTAAGTGAGGATCAAGCTCATAAAAAGAGTAACTTTTTATTCTACTTGTTCAAAGTGATTCAGGGCATGGAGGTGAAACCTAATTTTTACTCTATTTAACTTTCCTTTGTATCTGAGGAGGAAAACTGTTTTAAGTGAAAGTAAAGTTCTTACCCTCAAAACTGTTAAGATATCCCAGATAGCTATCAAATCTGCCAAAGGCAGCTCTAACACTCCTACTGTGTGACTATTCAGATGGCTTGCTAAAGAAATAGTCCTTCAGAGATTTCTCTCCTAAAGATTTACATAAGCCATGGTTTTAGAAATGATAAATAAGCTACTTTTTTCTCTTCTGGAATGAGAATCCTAAAAACAATTTAAATTTATTCCATTTCCTTTTGAATTGGGATTAAAACCTTATTTTCTTTTGTTACAAACTGGGGAAAAGAATGAATGGGAATATGTGGACATTAGATCAAGGGCAAACACAACAAGGGGATTGGACTATGAGCACATGATAAAAGCGAGAGCACACAAGGGAGGGGTGAGGATAGGTAAGACACCTAAAAAACTAGCTAGCATTTGTTGCCCTTAATGCAGAGAAACTAAAGCAGATACCTTAAAGCAACTGAGGCCAATAGGAAAAGGGGACCAGGAACTAGAGAAAAGGTTAGATTAAAAAGAATTAACCTAGAAGGTAACACCCACGCACAGGAAATCAATGTGAGTCAATGCCCTGTATAGCTATCCTTATCTCAACCAGCAAAACCCCTTGTTCCTTCCTATTATTGCTTATACTCTCTCTACAACAAAATTAGAGATAAGGGCAAAATAGTTTCTGCTGGGTATTGAGGGGGGGGAGCGGGAGGGGGTGGAGTGGGTGGTAAGGGAGGGGGTGGGGGCAGGGGGGAGAAATAAACCAAGCCTTGTATGCACATATGAATAATAAAAGAAAAATGAAAAAAAAAAAAAAGAATGAATGGGAATATTTACATTCTGATGCCAATTTTAATGAAGGAGGCAGCTTTAAAACTTACGTTTAATGAGGTGGGATAGAATTTCAGGTCTTTCTTTGGAGGACTTTGATTCATTTTACTTCTTCACATAAATTGCTTTAATGCCCTAAATTCTCCTTCTGATCCTTCCACATCTTAGAAGCTCTTTGTGCCCTTCCTATCAACTGATTTTTCCTTTTCCCTTTTCTCTCTCTAGTGGTTTCCTTTCCTCTGCCGTCATTTAGAAAAAGAAAGTGACATCTTGTCTGATTTGTCCGAAGTTTCAAATTATCTCCCTCTTCAAAAATCTCCATGGGCTGTCATTTTGTCTCAAATAGCCACACTGGTAACTTCTTTTGATTAAAGCACCAAATATGTCAGATAAAATCTAAACCTTAGGTCTATGAAGAAACCATCCATTTAGCAGAGTGTTATTGACATGGTACGCAGGGCAAATAAGATTTGATGAGGTGAGAAGATGAGGGAGCAGAGTCAAGAACACAGGTTCCTCCTTGGGAAGACACAGGACCCAGAGACAGGGTCTAAGCAGCCCAGGGAGTAAGCACTGGAGATGTGTTTCCTTTGGAAAGAAAGAAAAATAGAAACTAAAAGAAAGTGACCCTTAACTAGATATTCTTTGAGAGCAATATTCCTGCAATCTTTTACTAAAATCTTTTCTGAGAGCAGTATTTCTAGAATCTCTGGATTAGGTAAATCATTTAATTAAAAAATTATTGAATGAATAAATGAACAGGACAGGAACATTCCATTATTTTTTCTTCTCCTCAAAACATGGGCAAAAGTAAAACACATTTGAATATGATATCTAATTATTCTTAGACAGTAACTGTGTTCCACAAAGAAGGATATTCACTGCAAGCTGTGTAACAGAGGAGCAGTATGATAAAGTCTATCAACATATCTCAGAGCAAGTTATAGAAAAAAATCTACTAAGCTTCTAAATGATATGTTATAGGATTAGAGAAAGTGCTGTTTCATATTTCTAGCATCTTTGGAAACCCTGGTTATAGTCCTTAAATAATGAAAACTTTAGCCACTTCTGCTGCTTCCGTACTTAAATCTAGTTATTTTTACCTGTAGGTGTGTTTGGGAGCCTCAGGCAAAGTTATGAAAAGGAGGGGATAAATGCTACATCTTATACATATCTGTTCTTTCTTTAAGGAATGTAAAAAAGTACTCATACACACCAAAAGCTGGCACCCACAGTATTAACTACAAAAAGCACAGTGATTTTTTTAAAAAACAAACAATTGCAGTGGTGGTATTTATACTAAGGTGGAATCAGCTTGTATTCAGTTGACATGCTTAACCAGTTGCAAACTGAGTAACTAAAATTGTAAGCAAGACGTGACATACTGCCTAACTTTCAGAGTTGATTTTGTATTTCTCTATCCCAAGTCAGTAAGTGATGTGAGGCAGTTTTTGTGTGTGTGTGTGTGTGTGTGTGTGTGTGTGTGTGTGTGTGTATTTTCTTTTTCTTAAGAACTAGGGGCAGTTGTGTAAGTAAGATGGATGGTTTAGACTAGACATCTCCATTTGACTGTTATTAAAGAGGAGGAAATGACCTGGAGGATTGAATAAGGCAGGACATGACCTTCAAACTTACCTTTGCAAGTTGCTCATGGATCTCCAGCAAGCTGGGTCGGTTGACCTTGGGCCCACTGACACTGCCAGTATTTCGATAGTACTCAATTTTGGGAACCGCATCCATGGTGTTGTGGCCAAAGGTTTGTAGGTAGTATGTGTTTGTGTGAGAATCATAGGCATGAAAACTGGTATCTGTTCTTGTAGTTTCTCCATTTTGGAGGAAATTGTCATAGCACTCCTGATTCCCAGGCCTAAAGCTGATTCTCAATCTGTTCTGGACTTCATCCCCAAAAGAGGTCTCTTCATAATGTGGAGGGTCAGTATTGTCACTCACAGCCGCACTGTTGTCATGACTCTCATTTATGATATTCACTTGAAAGCGATTGGTATTACTAGGCACTGAATCCAGAAATACGCTGGAAGAGGTGTTCAGTGACATCTTCCAAAATGGATTTTTTTGGATTAAGCTATCTTCTTTATAGTTGTTAAAAAGAGTCTATATATTTCTGTCTCAAAACAAACACTAATGTGGTTACATTAGGGATCTCCTGGCTTTTGCTCAAGATGAACTCAATAAATATGTGCTTGATATACAATGTTTCTTATATAATCTTCAAAATGATCTTCAGAGCTGTCATTGGAAAAGAAAATTAAACCCGTTCCAAGTGATATAAATATATTTAAGTAGGGTTGGAGCATGAGAGAATTGTTTTCTTTTACAAGACACATAATTTTAAATTCATTTCACTAAAAATTACTTAGTCACCTGAGCAATTAAATCCTATAATAAATAACAGGGACTTGCTTCAGCAAACAATTTCCAATGGAGCCATTAAAATGTTAGTATTTGCTTGGGTTTTGTGTACTTGGAGTTAGTACGACTTTTAGAAAAGATATAAATCTTCCAGTTGAGTACAGTAAGAATAGATGAGAATATTCTTAGCCTGAAACATAGTTCACTGAAAGTATTAAATGCTAAAACTATAAAGTATTTCATGATTGATAAGAATATATACTATATGACACAAAAATGAAAACTTCTAAAAATGCATTTTAGCTAGCTTATAAAAATCTGTACATATTCAAGTAATAAAATTGTTCCAGAAATATTTTTACCTATGCAACAAGTAAAAAATTACATTTTAGAATGTGAATTTAAAAAATACAACCTGTCAAGATGATGTCTCTATAAATTCTTAGAAATTTTACTAGTCTTCAAATGTTTCATTTGATCATATGTTTGTGTTTTTTCATAAATGCTATTATGGAAACTTAAAAAAAATGAGTATTTGGGAAAAGGAAATAAGTCATAGCCCTCAACAAAGTTATATGCTTACTTAGACAAAATAATCATGCTGAACTGACTTCCTTTAAAGAAATATACTCAGTAATTGAGAGGTTTATATTTGACTACAAGATAAACAGACCAAAAAATAATTTTCACAATTCCACAGTATGAGCCATAAATACTCATACTTAAAATGCTTTCTTTAGAATATCTTTGCTGATATCTTAACACTTGATTTTTCAAAGAAAGTTCTAGAAAGATGAGATAAATATAACCCAAAAATTGCCTGTCTTATGAAATTATTAAAACTTATTTCTTTGAATAAAAGAAATAAATTAAACTCTCAAAATTCCAACTTATACTCTCAAAAACCTTTTCCAGGTGAAATTCTAAGTGAAGCTGTTTTCTTTTTAGTTTTTTAGAGCCTCTCACTTCTCCTCACAGCCCTTGACATCTTTTACACCAGTCTTCACAATCTACTTTGTGACACAGTATTGTGATTTTTTCCCCTCAGCCCAGAAATGCTTCACTTACCACCCAGTTGCCTTCTTCTGAGGAAGTGGAACTAACTTCAGGATCACATAGGCATATATGGGGCACTTAGCTTTCAGCCCCAAATCTTAGGTTTCTTCTTATTGGTTAGACCCTTTCATGAAAAGGATGACTTTGCCATGATTGGCTTGGAATAGTGCTAGAAGCCTGCCCAGTCCTTAGCCCTGAGGAAACTTAAGTACCACATCAACTAGTAACTAGTAGTAAACCATTAATCCTTTTCGACAGGAAATAAAGTTTCTTTGTTCATAAGGAGAACTAGATTGCTCAACAGCAATCATTCAAAAATATTGCTTCAGTTGTTTGCGACTGGATATATTGAGTCCCATGATCATCCTATTTTTGTGTCTAAGGGACCTATTGTTCAGCATAGGCACCAAATTATAGTCCTTAAAGATAATCTCAATATTGGGTAACTACAAAATGGTACCTGGAATTATTTTGTCTCATTTATACTATTACTTTGATTCTTCTCTGCATGGGAAGTGAGAAAATTGAAAGTAGAATCGATTTATTGAAAAGAAAACTGTGGGTATGTTTCCTAGTGGCACTAATAAATGGCCTTCATGTCTGCATCTAGAAAAACATTTTTCTCAAACCTAGTTTTTGAGTTTTGTTGAGATGCTTTTGCTCAAACCTGTGAGTTGATGATTATTAAGACAGCACAACAGTTCCTCTCCACAGGTTCTGTCATTGGTTTTCAGTCAGAATAGCCAGAATGGGTCCTCTTTACATCTATAAGAATATCCACTTGATTTTCAGTTGTCTGTGTAGGTTGGTTGTGGTGGTAGGCTATAGGTGGTTGAGTATAAATACTGAAGTTACAATGTTCGATTTGTATTTAAGTTATTCAATCTCCCTGCTTTTATTTTCTTATCTGCAAATGAAGATGTGGACAACAATGGTATCTTCTTCCTTGTAGAGTTATTGTGAGGACTAAAAGAGCTACTCAGGGTTAGTGCTTAGAAAGCAACATATTTCTTGCTTTTGCTATTTTGATAATATTTACAATCAGCTTGTGACTTTTAGTTTGTCAGGTACAAAAATCTGAGACCAATCACTAGAGAATGGGATAGCTATCATGTTTATTAAGATAGAAGGAAAGTAAACTGGTGACTAGACAAAGAATTATAGACAGGAACCTAGAGACACCTAATAAAACCCCTTAGATGCTCTTAGGTAGGTGAATGTCATACTACTCAGTCAGCATAATGTCATGAGGTTCTAACAGAAATACGATAAAATTACAAGCTGTGCCTATAACTCAATCTTCTCTTAAAAGCCACCAATAAAGGGTGCTTATTTGTTAAACAAAAGGTTCTGACTATCCACATGGAAGACTTTTAAGTAAAGGAATTAGTCACATTTCAGATTCAGCAAAGAAGGGTTATTTAGATCAAGACTGGGTACAACTAGAGTGGACCTGGAACTTAAAACAAGTTCAATCCATTGGACCAGAGCAGGAGCTATGCCCTACCATCATCCAACTGCCACTCACTCTCAGGACCACTGTATTTATTCTTTAGCCATTTTTCTCTCCCATAGGCTGAGTACCTCCAATACCAGTCAATTTTCCTTTTCCTTGCTGACTGCCTGCCTGACTACAGAGTAGTGTGAATTAGTTTTAGTCTTGATCCTATATCAAGTGGACATTTTCATTCTGAGGCTTTTATCTCTAACTGTGAAATGAAAGTTCTTTTTCTTTATTAAGGGGAGTCAGACCTTCTGGAGCAGATGCGAGATAGTTTGGGGGATATAGATGAAATTACACCATCCATAAAGCCACCTTGAAAGGTGAGCCTGATTTAGGCCTTTCAGACAGGTGGGAAGGTAACAGGAGCAAGTTGTCTGGAGGTATATACCCCCATCTTTCCTCCTGTTCTCTCTGACAAGGCTTTTGGAAAGGGGCAGGCAGAAAAGCTGATCTGGGATGATATTGGTCATCTGTATCTAGAAAGACCACCATTTTATGAAATTTCTGTGTTGTATCCATAGCATAACTGCCTTTTATTTTTATTATATTATTTCTAGCTCTGGAAATACAGATTAAGACCCCTCCTCTACCCCTCAAAAAAGGAGGGGCACACGATAGGATATGAATAAAAGCCCAGGATGAAGATATTTTGTTTAATAGATTTTCTCTTTAGTGGGATTGGAAATGACATTGTAGTGGAGTTGTTATCTAAAAAGATTGTAGGACTTGAATGTTCAGAAGCTGCTCACACTTTATAAAATTTTCTTGCCTTTTGACTTTGGTGCCTTTCTTCTTTTTGAAATAAGGATCTGGCCTTGAGACTGATAACCAGAATATACAGGGAACTTAAGAAACTAAACTCTCCTAAAATCAATGAACCAATTAAAAAATGGGCAACTGAACAAAACAGAACTTTCTCAAAAGAAGAAATTCAAATGGCAAAAAAGCACATGAAAAAATGCTCACCACCTCTTGCCATAAAGGAAATGGAAGTCAAAACCACACTAAGATTCCACCTCACCCCTGTTAGAATAGCCATCATCAAAAACACCACCAACACAGGAAAGCAATGCGAGTCAGCTCCCTGTATAGCTATCCTTATCTCAACTAGCAGAAACCCTTGGTCTTTCCTATTATTGCCTATACTCTTCAACAAAATTAGAGAAAAGGGCAAAATAGTTTCTGCCTGGTAGCGAGGGAGTTGTGGGGGAGAGGGAGAGGGCTGACTAGGTAAGGGAGGGAGCTGGGGGAAGGGGGGAGAAATGACCCAAACATTGTATGCAGGTGTGAATAAAAGAAAAAAAAAAAACCATCACCAACAACATGTGTTGGCGAGGATGTGGGGAAAAAGGAACCCTCGTACACTGCTGGTAGGAATGCAAGCTGGTGCAACCACTCTGGAAAAAAATTTGGAGACTTCTTAACAATCTAAACACAGATCTGCCATATGATCCAACAGTCCCACTCCTGGGGATATACCCAAAGAAATTCAACACAGGTTACTCCAGAGGCACCTGCACACCCATGTTTATTACAGTGCTATTCACAATAGTCAAGTTATAGAAACAGCCAACATGCCCCACTATTGATGAATGGATCAAGAAAATGTAGTACTTGTACACAATGGAATTTTACTCAGCCATGAAAAAGAATGAAATCTTATCATTTGCAGGTAAATGGATGGAACTGGCGAACATCATTCTGAGTGAGGTCAGCCAGGCTCAGAAGACCAAAAATCATATGTTCTTCCTCATATGCAGACTTTAGATCTAGGGGAAATGCAGCAATGTGGTTGGACTTGGATCACATGACAAGGGGAGAGCACATACGGGAGATATAGGAATAGGTAGAAAACCTAAAACATGGGTTTTGATGTCCCCACTCCAGAGGAGCTACTACAGAAACCTTAAAGCAACAGAGGTTATCATGAGAAGGGGATCAGTAACCAGTGTAAAGATTAGTTAGAGATGAATTAACATGGGTCATAACACATGTGTATACGAAAGCAATGCTAGGAATATTTCTGTATAGCTATCCTCAACTTAGCTAGCAAAAATGCTTTGTCTTCCTTATTAGGCTTGTGTTTTTCTTCAACAAAATTAGTCATAAAGGCAGAACAGGACCTGCCTGGAACTGAGCGGGGGAGCAGGGGAGAAGGTAGGGAAGGGGGGCAGGGTGGAGAAATGACCCAAACAATGTATGCACATGTGAATAAATGAATAATTAAAAAAAAATCTGGCCTTGCTATATTCAAGTGACTGAAATGGAGAGTCTTGGTGTTTTCTCTGGGAGAATAATGGAACACCTGGAACCTGGACACATATCTTAGGGAGCATTTCAGAAGTCTGGGTCACAGAGAAGATGCCTAGTGTCTTTGTATTAGCAGCTTCCAACAAATTCAAGTGAGTTTAGCTCAGGGAGGTATTCTTAGGCCAAATTGCCAACTGGTTCTAAAGTGAAACAGGCCTACACTCTTGTACCACCTGGGATACAAAGAGCCTTCTTGAGGTAAAGGTTTGGCCTAGAAGAGCCACAGTCAACACAGATGCGTTCTAAGTCTACTAGGCGATGGAAAGCATCAGGAAGTCTCACTGAGAGTGCCATACACCTTAGCAGTAACCATGTTGATAAGAAGTGGGAGGATCCAAGACAGTGTTAGGGAGTATAGCAGATGTTAGTCTGCCAAGTTCATTCAGGTCCCAACACACTACTCCTTAGCTTGGTGACCTTGGGATGCTACTTAATGTTACTAGGCTTCAGTTTCTTCTCCTCCTCCTTCTTCCATCTTTTTTCTTCCTCCCACTCCCCTTTCTCCTCCTCCTCCTCTCTCTCCTTCTCCTCTTCTTTTTCCTCCTCTTCCTTCTCCACCTCTTCCTCTTCCTCCTCCTTCTACTTCTTCTTCTCCTCTCCTCCTCCTTCCCCTACCCTTTCCTTTTCCCTTCTTCCTCCTCCTTCCCCTCCCCCCTCCTTCCCCTTCTTCTGCTGGTACTAGAAATTGAACTTTGAGCCTCATGCTCACTAGGCAAGTGTCATACACCTGAATCACACCCCTAGTTCTTTTGTTTTTAGCTTTGTTTTTCAGATAGTTTATCTTGCTTTTTCTCAGGCTGGTCTCAGACAGCTTCTACCTCCCAAGTATCTGGGAAAATAAGCCTGTACTACCACACCTAACCCTAAACTTCCGTTTCTTATCTGTGAAACTGAGATAAAAATAACATGGAAACCGTAGTCCCAAAGAATTGATGAGTATCAAATAAATGGAAAGTACCTAATTTAGTGCAACTTCTTAACATGCTTAGAGACCATTCTGTGGTTTCAAGCGACACAAGTGCTTTTGTATTTATCTACTGCTATATTCTTTCATTCAGTGATCATGAAGAGTTGGAATGTTGTAGTTGAATTTTTGAAATTAAATAAATAATTCTCTTCATTTTTGAAACTAAGAGAATAGAGGTTGAATAGTTTACTGTAAGCCATTGCTTCTTAGAATTTGAGAACTTCTATTGCTAACACTGATAGAAATACTAAGTGACAGCAAGGTATGTTTACATAGTGTTCTGTATTTTCCAAGGTGCCTTCACATTCATTCTATCTCATCTGTCTTCCCAACATTCTTGTAGGATATGTGGGATAGGTTTCTTATCCTTATTTTCAGATATAGAAAATAGGTTGCCTTTAGGTAACTTTCTAAGTCATAAAACTAGTTCTTGGGTAGGCCAATATTAGAAATCAAATCTCTGTGTTTATACTCTTAATCTGAAAGACTTCATGATGTCATAAAATCTTATTTTTAGATCTCTGGGTTTCTAGGTACATTTGTAACATTTTTAGGGCATTAGACTTGAAAAAAAAGGAAATAAAAATCCTCTTATTAATTCCCCCACTGAAATCCATAGAAATTAGACAATTTTCCCAAGGTTGCATAATTCTAATGGTGGTATAGCCAAGACTGGATTTCTGGTGGAGTGTTCCTTCTGCTGGGTCATGCTGGCAAATCTCTTTTTAATGCTGTTATATAAGGTAGATGTAGTTGGAGTATCATTAGGAACCAGTTCTGGTTTGGATTCCAAGTTACAGGATTTTATTGTGAGAGACTCTGTGAGAGAGCTTTGTGGGTTTTGAGACCTTTAAGACCTGTAGCGATGTATAGGGTTTGGTGTTAGCTTTTCAATTTTTTTTTCACTTTGAACCTTTTGATCTGTGGCTATTATTTAAAAATTTATATCCTGCTTTTATTTGGACTCAAGGTCCCTTATATTTAAGACTTGATTTATTAATACTAAATTATGGGCTTCAGTCTAGAACATGGAAAGGGTATGTGGGCATTGCAGAGGAGAGGAAGCAGAATGCCTTCAGCTAGCTCATTAGCATAAGAAATGGAGCAAATACTCAAGGCAGATGTTCAAGGTAAGGATAAAGCTGGTTTATATGACTATAGCAATGCTTATGCTCTATTTAGTAGAAACCTCAATGGGGTGGGAGGAAATAGAGGAAAATGAGAAATCACAACAATGGTTTATTATTTACACCACATGGTGGATAAATCAATCACAAATGTTTATTGAATTCAGTGAATGAAATGAGCCTCTCTGTAGCACAATCGGGGAAATTACAAATGTATCCACCACATGTTCCAAAGGCATAACCATAAAGAGCATGAAACTGGAACTCTCACGCAAGTGCATATTCAAATGTCCCTTTATCGAACTCTTCAACTTCATCTTCCCACGTAGAGGAAGGCATGCTACTATATGGATCTAACAGAATTTTGAAGCATCGGATAATAAGAAGTCCCAAGAAGATACACAAAATCCCAACAAAGGCAAAGCCAGTTTTTTGCTCCAGAGTCAGTGAGAAAGCTGAGACTTCGTTGACACTCATCTTAGCTGAAGAATTGCCACAGTAGGTAAAACTCATTATTCATGGGCACATCGCTGTGGCTCTTCAGAATTCCTGCTGGAATCAACTCTTGGCCTAGGTACAAAAGTGGGTTCAGTTTAGTTGGTAAAACCAATGATTTTGGGTAGGGAATTGTTTTTATAAAATCTGGCATTTTTCAAATACTCTTAACTAGTAAAAGATGTTTGAAAACATCAGCAGATATGGATCAAGATCAAATCAGCATTGCAGTTGCCACTTCTACTGTAACAATTACAGAATTGCCTTTGTGGACACAAAAATCCATGTCTACATGCTCTAGATGTAATATCAAGTATGAAAGCAGATACTCAGATAACTAACACTAAAAGCTTTTTGATTCATTGTTAGATAGTTGTAACTGCTTCTCTGATTTGAATTGTCACTTTATTTTGCATGTATAGATAATACCATAAATAAGCATAAAGTATAAGGTGTTCCTGCTGTTTTAAGTCCATACTTCAGGTATCTCTCCAGTGCCATTTTGTCTGATACAAATTCTGATTTGTTAAGAATGGATATCTTCCTTTTTTCATCCCTTTAGCTTTTATAGCTGTATACTTGCATTTTCTTCTCATTTACTACCATTACACACTCTAAATGCTCATTTCTTAAAAAGAAAAGTTGTGTTTTTAAAATTACATCAACAACAATCAATGCCCAACACAGCAGTTTGCAGCAGACAAGAAGCAATAGTTGTGCGCCATTAGTAGCTCCCCACTTTCTCCATTAGCTTTCAGAACCCCTCAGTAAACACAAAATTCAAGCTCAATAGCATGTCTTCTCTGCAAACTCAACTTCAAGACAAACTCCCAGTCTCTCTCCCAAGCAGATTTTCACAAAGCTCCTATTATGTTAAGAGTCTAAAACTACATCTAGAATGTTCAGAAAATTTATGTTAAATTGAAACGAATAGGGTTTTTGGACCATTTGTCATCTTAATAAATTAGTTAAACTAATTAAAGATAAAAATAAAATTAGTCAATTAAATAAAATTATTACTAACATACAGTCACCCTTCTTGAGAGCACTGTCACCATATAGCTCATCATTCAATAACTGAGATGATGGACTTGGTATTTTCATTTTTGTTGTTGTTTCTCTGGGTAGTTTTTTAAAAATCATGTTTATTTTAAATGAATGACCCTTGAGGTTCTTTTTTTTTAACTTGGTTTTCAGAAAACAACTGAGACAGAATAAAGGCTGGGCAGCAATGAGTGGAAGAAACAATAAGAGCAAGACCTGTAGGTTTTAAAATTATTTAGCAAGTAGCAATCAACTCATGCCAATAAAGGGTGTATTTTATAGTGGCTTGGATTACAAAAGAGCTCTATCTTCAAACCATAAATGGCAGAAATATTCAATGTATTCTAAGGCTTGCTGGTTGTTTTACTTTTTGTTTAATTAAAGGGGAAATTATTTCAAACTCTTCTGTTGAAATTCTTTCCACCAAATCATAAAAATTTTAGGATCACGTAAGTGGTTCTTTCTGAAGGCTGAGTTTTTGTACTTTTTATCCTATAAGACAAAGGAGACCGGACTGAATATCTAATGACCCTGTGGTTTAACTAGAACATTTTCTGGTTAAGTCTCACTTTTGTCAGTGAAAGATCATTTGTTGAGATACATACACACTCTGGTTCATTTCTTTAATGGATGGAAAAGCTGAAAAGTGGAATGTTTTTACATGGAGATACTAGACCAAGCATTTATCATGTGACTGACTGATTAGACAAGTCACTTATTTGAATTGTTTTTGCACTAGAGCAAAACCTTGCTAGGCTCCAACATTTGATATTTCAGGGAATATGTGGGTAAGAGGAGGCAATAAACCTGGTTTATTGGCGGACACATGGTATGCTCAATAAATTCTCTTCAATGAAGGACTTGTTGCCCTCCAACTGGGAGGGTCACCAGCAAAGTCTTTCACTGCCATCTCCTTTCACTGATTGTCTCAACTGCAGAGAACTCTCACTCAAGGTCATGGCCTTCCCCAGGGAAGATGATACAATGATTGATTGATGTAATAGTATGAAGCCATGCTCATCTTGATATTAAAGGAACATTCTGCTCCAGGGTTCCACATGGGGTTAATTGAAGCTGTCATTGAGTACACATCACAGCTCATTTTTTGACCACTTCTGCTTAATTTCCCTTTCTTCTATAGGTGTTCAGCCCAAGGGTATTCCTTAAAAACATCTGGCACACTAAACTCTGTCTCATAGTTTAGTTTATGGGGAATCCAGCTTGCAACAATTTGTGTCACAAAAATTAAATACTGGCGGCAGTTTTAATGACTTGTTCATTTTCAGCTGGTTCATTTTATTATCATGTAGAAATTGCCTAAACTGACTATAGTTATGACATTAGCTAAATTTATTTAGGTGTTTAAAAAATGTCAAAATGTAAACAGAAGTACAGGGTCTTCTGGGGGAGTTAAGTAAGTTGTCTGTTGGCTAGTAATCTATCCACTATACTCCATTATTCTCAGTAAAATCTACCAACCAACAAAACAAACAAACCAATAAAAGAGGAACTTTCTAGATGTACCAATACAACACTCATGTCATTTATTTCTATTAAATTAAAACAAGGCTAGAGATAGAAAGGATTTTATATTTTATATTACAATTTATCTAACATGTACCAAATAATGCCTTGTTCTTAGGGTCTTACATAATATATGAATTAATGCATTACCACTATTAAGGGATAAATAACTACCTCTCAGGTTGGCACATCATAGTTAATAAACATTCAGATTTAACTAAGACAGGTATGTTGAAGAATACAATTTTTGAAGAATAAAGTTGTTTATACTCTAATTTTTAAGTACCCAGAAAAATTGAAAATGGATTCAGAAATGAATAATAGAAATTGCATTTGATTTTGAACATTGGTCTCGATAAATATCAAAATTCAGCAGCTCTTTCAGACCTCATTCTTGCTCTTTCCTGTCAAATTGGCGAATGTAGGAATCCCAAAACAACTAACATGATTTTTTGGTGTTCAAAGTAGAGATCTTTCCTAACAATTTTGTGAGTTTCCTTTTGTTTTGTAAGGGAAAATATGTACATATCATTTAATTTTGACATTCATCTGTGCCAGGAAGTGCAGAGTTAAATTTTGTATTCAATTGTAGTGATTTTGGTTAGCTTAGGACTCCTTTCTCCTCTGCAGCTATGTTTTACGTTACTTGGCTGTTACCCTTAATATCACTTAGTAAATGAATAAAGACACTCTATTATTTGTATAATACAATGAAATGCAGTATAACTAGGACAAATTTTTAAGATTGCTGCCATGAAGGCTGACATGTGAACTCAAGGTAACATATAATATTTTCTTAACTTGTTCATGAAATAAATATATATTATGTATATATTGTGCATCTGTTAGGTGTCAGCACTGCCCTTGGTGCTAGGCAGTGGGGAACTTGATAACAATGTACACTTGTCGTACTGATGTCAAGGAGGGAGCCATGAAAATAGCTGCAGGAAGAGTACTGAAGTTGGAGGAAACAGCCTTTGCAAAAGCATTGAAGTAGGAGAGAATTTTCACATATGATAAGGTCAGATCCAGAAATTGACCAATAAAGGAATAAACACCTTACTTGAACGGGTGATTTCATGGTATCGAATAATAAAGAAGATGTAGGACTATTTAGTCTACTTCTGTCTTTTTTTTTAAACCAGTGCAGTATGGCCTTTTAAAATGACAGTAAGATAAAATAGTGAGGGGATAGGAATGTAGAATAATAATGCTGATTCATATCAAATGAGTTAAAACTCCCAGGATCAGATGATGTATAACTTGCAGATATGCTTTCAAGACCTTTCAGAAGTTACTGACCATGAGAGAGTTTCCAGAAGTATGGGAGTAGACTGACAAACATCTTGATTTTCAAAAGAAGTAAGGGGAATTGTGAAAATTGTATATTGATAATGTGCAATTAATCTAGAATTAATAGGTAATATATCAGCATTTAAGAAGGCCCTGAAAGTTAGCATGAGTTTAATGAGTAGTGCTGTGTTAGTCAGTTTTCTATCATTGTGACAAAATATTCTAGAGAATTGATCTAAACCAGGAAAAGTTTTTTTTGGCAAACAGTTTCAGAGGGCTTCAGTCTACGGTCACTTGCCTGTGTTGCTATGGGTCCGTGGCAAGGCAGAACATTACATAAGAGCATTTGACAAGGACTGGTCACCTCATAGTGGTGGGGAAACAAAGAGAGAAAGGAAAGAGCCAAGGTCCCATTATCCTCTCCAAGGGCACATCCCCAATGACCTAACTTCCTTTCACTAGGTCATACCTCCTAAAGGTTCCACCACCTCCCCAAAACCTCACAGGCTGGTAACGAAGCCTTTAACCTATGGCCCTTTGGGAGACACACCAGATCCAAACAGTAGCAAATGCCAAATTCACTTTCAGTTTGAAAGTTTACTACAAAACATGGTGAATCAGGGAAATAGTGTGGACATGGTTTACTGATTAGGGCAATGCATGTACCATTCTCCCATGACATCTTTGTAAGGAAGATGGGAGCTATGCCTGGTAATAGTATTCTCAGATTCATAGTTCAATGAACTACCTTAATAAATATTGTGTTTTGTAATCATAGAGACAGGACTGCAATGTGGTATCACAAAGATCTAATCTTATACTCTAGAGTTTTTGAATAGTGACTAGGCTGTAAATTGAAGTGATGGTTATTAAATTTGACACAAAGCTTAACTGAAAATATACGGTAGCTCTCAGAAACAAGATTCAAAACATCTGAATTCTGGGCTGAAAAAAGAACATAAAAGTTAACAGAAACATTTCTAAAAGTCCTGTGTTTCAGTAAGATGGAGGGAAATGTACCATTTCAGTCTTCTGAGACATGACTGGACAGTTTATATAGAATAAATATAAAAGTTGCAATTAATAAAAAATTGTTATAAGTCAAAAGAGTGAGGCAGTTGCTTGAAAAGCTAAAGCTTATTGTTTGGGGGGGGGAC